CCCGCCACGTACTAAGAACATTGCTAATAATGCAAAATATATGGTTGTAGATACACTGCTTGTTACCTTCTTGAGATAAAAAGAACATGCTAATAATGCAAAATATATGGTTGTAGACACTACTGTTACCTTTGAGATATAAAGAACATGCTAATAATGCAAAATATATGGTTGTTGTGAGACCACTACTGTTACCTTTGAGATAAAGTCAATCCACTAATAATGCAAAATATATGGATGTAGACACCACTGTTACCTTTGAGATAAAAGAATCTGCCAATAATGCAAAAATTAATGGTTGTAGACACTGCTGTTACCTTTGAGATAAAGAATCCGCTAATAATGCAAAATTAATGGTTGTAGACACTGCTGTTACCTTTGAGATAAAGAACATGCTAATAATGCAAAATATATGGATGTAGACACCGCTGTTACCTTTGAGATAAAAGAACAATGCTAATAATGCAAAAATATATGGATGTAGACACTGCTGTTACCTTTGAGATAAAGAACACGCTTATAATGCAAAATATATGGTTGTAGACACTACCAGTTACCTTTGAGATAAAATGAACATGCTAATAATGCTAAATATATGGATGTAGACACCCACTGTTACCTTTGAGATAAAGAACATGCTAATAATGCAAAATATATGGTTGCAGACACTACTGTTACAACAAGAGATGTTAAGAACATGCTAATAATGCAAAATATATGGTTGTAGACACTACTGTTACCTTTGAGATAAAGAACATGCTAATAATGCAAAATATATGGATGTAGACACTGCTGTTACCTTTGAGGATAAAGAACATGCTAATAATGCAAAATATATAGTTTTGTAGACACTACTGTTACCTTTGAGATAAGGAATCTGCTAATAATGCAAAATATCTGATGGTAGACACTACTTTACCTTTGAGGATAAGGAATCTCGCTAATAATGCAAAATATATGGATGTAGACACTACCAGTTATCTCTAAGGGATAAAGAACATGCTAATAATGCAAAATATATGGTTGTAGACACTAACTGTTACCCTTTGAGATAAAGAACATACTAATGTTGCTAACGTTGGGTACAATGCGTTTCTATTTCCTCATCTCGCACATGGTAAAGTCGTCTGGTAATATTCTTACAGTTTTGATTTCCATGCATTCCCTTTGTCTAGGAAAAAGAAATTCTAGATGTAGTGTCCAAATCTGTCCAGTCCTATGCTGTGTCTCATTGTCTGTAAAGCGGTTAAAAATGCAAGCAAACCACATGGGCATATACGGGTATAATATTGATGATAATGTGTCAACATTGTAACATCGATAAGAATAGATCTGTTGAATTTGCACCCTCAAGTGTAATTGAAAATGTAAGAGGTATCTGCTTTGAATTTGAATTCAATCCGTAAATAATCTGTAAGTTTCTGCTTGCCCTTGCATATCAAAATTAGTTACAAGTTACATAAACATTATAAATAAATAATATTACAATATGTTCCAGTTTGACCAGTACATCACACGGTTCAAGGAAGCGGCCAAGAACGGAGATACGTACCATCGAGTATCAGTGGTAAGGGCACATGAAACTATTAAAGGCAAAACATATTTGCGTCATAGTTTTAAAGAACTTGAATGGATCCACTGTTGTATCAACACTGGGGCCAGTCTGTTTCAAGCAGAACTGCAAAAGGAGAGTGAGGTGTGGTTTGGCGCCGCACTCAGCAATATTCCAGCTATATGGCGGCGGTGTGTAAATAATCGAGTCTGGACCAGACATTCCAGTGATCAATAACAGCATGAGCATCGGTCTGTGGCCAACTAAGCCAACGAGCCTGGCCACCCGATCCCGTTAGTCGCCTCTTTACGACAAGCATGAGTTACTGAAGATCAATTTCCTTACACACCCGTGGGTGAGAAACCCATGTGAGAGAAATGGTATCACACATATGTGTGAGATCGATTTCTAATCCCGTGGATTGGCTACTCCATGGTGATGACCTAGGGTCAGGGTATGATTTGACTACTTTCCTGATTAAAATTCATTGATAAGTTACTCGTGCCTCCAATCGAACAGAAACCTGTTACTCGTGCAAAAATAATTCCCTTTACACCTACCTGTTATTTTCAAGTGATTGCAACATAAACATGTATTTATACAATGAGTCACAAGTAGAATAAATATAACACAAATCTATTTATTTTCTAATTCTTTTTATTAAAACTTTTGATTTCTAGTCATGAATTCAAAATGGCTCCAACAATCAGTGATACCTGTGTAAACAATTATGTGAAAATCACCGTTAGAGATAAAGCCCTTCATTCCCTTCGAATATTCAAAATGTACAACACTGGTACTTTTACTGGAGAGATGCGACAAGTGTCATGTGTCAGTCTTGCAAAAATACCTTGACACGATAACGTCAGTGCCTGTCCATAGTGAGACTGATTTGCCTCTGTTGTTTCTTTGATGCATTGATGAAGATGACATTTTTCACTGATACACATGATGAAGACCCACTTCCAGATCCGAGATACTATGTGATTCCAATGTTATCAAATTCACTCATGACAATCTGAACCAAAACACACCTCGTTGAAACAATGTACAACATGGTATGTTTTGCAAGGCTTCATGAGTGCAAATGGCGGCACACGTCCTTTCTATTCAATCGAACTTGTACAGGAACGGTTGATCTACACATAAGTCATTGCTCAAGATATTCCTCCTACGCATGATAATGAAAAGTTTATGTCTTGATAACTTACAGGATGTAATCAACTCACATTTCATACTGAAAACTCCGTAAATTCCATTACATTCCAAGTGGCAGCAGTTTCTGGCTCGGGAAAACGAGAAGGATGTGGCGAAGAAGAGTAGTCCCCATTGACAGTGAACGTAACCTCAGCAATGTCACATTCAAGCACACTGGGTGCAACTCTAATGACACACACTCAGTACATTTTTCCCGTTTTGGGGTAGACTGCACTTTTACGGGTCCCCGGAAGTTTAGCTACAGACATGCGCAGAAGCCATATTTACATCGAAGCGAGCACTAACGCTGACGCCATTTTGTTTGCTCCGGCGAATAACAACATCGCTGTTTTGGTCCATTCAATTACCCTTGATACTAATCGATACAATAAACAAAACAGGTAAGTTAACATGATGTAGCAGAGCGCGATAACAAATATCGAAACGCTTCACTTTTACCTTATATTACAAGAACAAATCTGCGCCCCTCAATTGAATTGACTTACCTCACAAGAACAAATCCGCACTTGAATTAAATACATCGGGGATACACCTGAACTGGCCCTGCCGAACTGGCCCCTGGATATTTAACCCAAAACCGGCTCCCTGGATATTTAACCCGAACCCGAACCGGCCCCTGGGTTAATTAACGGTAATCAGACAGACAATTAATCTGATAGACATGAAGATTTCATTTAATTTATTATATGTATACAGACATGAAGATTTCATTTAATTTATTATATATATACAGACATGAAGACGACTTATATTCAGCTGCGTACCAAAAGGAACGATGGTGAAAGTCAGTAAACGCAAGAATCGGACACGTTATCCATGATGAACAAATTATGAATCATGTCCTTCAGATAATGTCCCTTATAAGATTATACGCAAGGTGAAGATAACAGTTTACGGTGCAGTTGACATTGAGTGAACGCAATCAGTGTCAAGATAATCCGTTCAAAGAAATATTAAAACAACACAAGCTAATGTGTGTTGAAAAGATGAAGGGCGACATTATTTTTCGTTACTGGAAACTTGGGCATAACAAAGGTGAAATGTGAATTCATTATATTGGATTTATGTGCTATTCTTGTGTTGAATTAATGTATCAATTTTGTGGATCCGATACAACGAAATGTAAGTACATCGTTTTTACTTTAATATTGTTTTGCAACTTATCTTTTAATTTAATTGATCTTAAAAGAATTACATTAATGTCCTCTACCACGTGATCTCTGTGATCAGCAGCACTTGCATGTTCACTTGCCTATCATCGACACTAATATTCGCTAATATATTTTAACACATCGATATTACATGTAAAGACATATGAGTAATATATGTTTTCGTCATTTATGTTAAAGGAACTTTTAATTCATATGTCAATGTAGAAATATTTACCTCTCGTGGCCGGTTTGGGTCAAATATCAGGGCCGGTTCGGGGTTAATATCAGGGGCCGGTTCGGGGTAAATATCAGGGGGCCAGTTCGGCTTGGGGCCAGTTCGGGGGTAATTCCATCAACACTGTTAGTCTGCAAGCTGCTCAAACAATCTATCGATTTTCAAGTTGTCTGTTCTGACAGATTTCACACGAAAATGATAAAAGTATAAAAAGACAAACTTTTACCTTATTAAGAGTTCTATTTCTCTCTTCTATATAATCTAAAAGAGATGTTCTGTGATTATCGAGCATCGAATCCTCACGTTCGTCTATCTCGGACGCCATCTTGTTATGATCACCATAGTGACGCTCGCTTACCCCTGAAATGAAGTTCAAATTATAATGAAAAATTATATGTGCCCCTATATATAACGTTTCCCTGAGGTTTCAAAATGTTTTAATAAACATAACTAGTATATGCATATAAAAAACAATTGCCAAAAAAGTTTATATTTTGAAAAGGGGGGTAACTCATATTATTTCAAACGCATTATACTAGTTGTGTTGTAGGTAAGCGCCACAAACTCAGCGCTTAAACTTTCGCATAGTACGCTGGTTCCCGCGGTTACTTGAACTAGGAGCCCAGTCAAAAGACGAATACCTATCATCGGTTGTCGCGAGTGGTCCGAGAAGACGGTGACATAACATATTTCTCGAAACCGTTTGGTATGATGATGTACACTACACAAAGATCGATTATTCGAACTCTCGGGTCTTTCACTCTGTAATAGTTTAAGTGTACCTAGATCACGTGGATGACGGTGTATCGTATAAGGTTAATATAACATACCGGAAAGATTTCCGCCCGTAACCCCGGTTTTTTTTATCATTCTATGCCAAAGATTTATAGTAAGAATAGATGCTTTTTTTATAGAAAGCCTACCGTAACCCTAAACCTAACATAATGCTGAATCTGAACCCTAAACCTAAACCCTAACCCCTTGAAATAATCATAATAAACAGAATACATTCCAAGCGGGGGTTACGGGCGGAACTCATACCATGTTCTCACTAAACTGAAATATACAGACTACTGAATAACGACTACAGATTCCATTGAATTGATATAGGTAGTTCTCTTCTTTAGGGCATGTGGGGGCAATTTGTGTATTTGAACTATTGCTGTAAGCAGGTCAAGACAACTCAGAGTATACATTTTGAAACTCAGCGTCATAGAGTCATATCACCATTTGATCCATTTACTTTGCACATTTAACCCCTTATTGTGTCCTATAACCATGTCCTGCTCAGCTGTTGACCTTGTCAAGCATATAACTAGACGACTTTGCACTATACCAAGGTGTGCTCGATGTAGGTATGAACTACTGTTGACCAGGTATAGCATGGATGCTCAGGGTGTTTTTAGCCTTAGGGGGCCCATTTTCAAGAATGTGACTGAATATCATATCATTCTCAATTTCATATGAAGTCTTTATCCCACTCCTTATAGGAATTTTATTGTTTGATTGACAAACTTTGTGTGCTGGCAATTTGGTGCCTGACTCTGAATCCGGATGGAACTCAACCCAACAAAAGTACTAGAATCTGTACCTTAATGAGAAAGTGTAATCTCAAATATAAGATGTGTTACATTTGACCACTTTCTAGATTGCATTGTGTATTCATTCCTTGAGTATATCAGTTATGTTTGACATACAGTTCAATTTTCATTAGTTTCATTAATCAAAACAGCACAACATTTCTTGGTCACCCTTGGCAATATGATTTATTTTATGCCCTGTAACCCTGTATAACTCTATGGTAATTTCTCACGTACAATCTTCTTGATCATCAACATGATATCAAAAACATGTATATTACTGGTACTTTTACAGAATCATCTTTACTGCAACATGGCAAAACCAAGATTTGAGCCTCTTATTGAGTTTGTGAATAGTAATGAGAGAGACGCTTCACCCAGAGACTGGAGTAGAAGAGCCAAGATGAGAGAGAGATACAAACCATTGCGTGGGGAGGATGTGCGAGGCTTTTATGAAACTCTCATTTCTGAGACGACTGCTAGTGCCCCACAGACATCATCAGAGAAGGCTAAGAGAGGAAAAATGTGCAATTCAAAAGCTAAGCTGACAAATACTAAGAGCCATTCTGAAGCAAATGGTGATTCTTGGGAGACATCTGATGACCAATGTAATGTTAGGGAGACCCATTCAGTCTCTCATGTTCAACACACATCCATCTCAAACATCTCGAGAAATGATCACAAGAAGATGAGACAGCTAGAGATGCAGCTGTTGCACAGGAGTCAGGAAGGTGATTTACAGAGTGTGGAAAAGGCTGTAATATCCGGGGCTGATGTCAATGTTCAGGACCTGTATGGGTGGACGCCTCTTATGTGTTCTGCCTATGCTGGTCACGTGGGTGTTGTTCAGACCCTCCTTGGCCTTGGAGCAGACTGGGATCTGTGTGAGAGGAAGGGGAGGACTGCCAGGGATCTGGCTTCTAAGGTTGGTCATGGCAGTATTGTGAAGCTCATTGATGCTACCATAGCTCATTTACAGTCTTCCAATGATGGATCAAGTTCCAACCAACAAGTCACAAATGAGGAAAGTTTCTTCTGTGAAATTTGTAAAAGACATTTTTCTGAAGGGACAGAACTCTCTCACAGAACCTCCACTGTCCATTTGTTCAACTGCCAATTAAAACCTAAGCAAACTAGCTACCTGATTTCGGAGTCCAATATTGGATATCAGATGATGCTAAGGAGTGGCTGGAATGCAGATCGGGGTCTTGGACCTCAAGAAGAGGGACAAAAGTACCCAGTAAAAACTGTGTTGAAGAGGAATCGAGAGGGCCTTGGGGGTGAACGAAAGAGCACACCTAGAGTGACTCACTTCCCACCCCGTGATGTTCGAGCTGTTGCAACTGTGAAGCCGAGGGGGGAGAGGAGAGAGTCGTTGAGGTCACAGTCACGCCGAGCCATCAAGAGGAAAGAAAGGAAAGATAAAGAGTGGGAGAGAAACTTAAGGCGTTATATGAACTCTGATTAACTGGTCTCGATAAAAACTCCCCTTGTCCCTGTTTCTGTTTTCTCTATGGTGTGTGGTGTGTGATGTTATTTTTGAATGAAGTGAAAGCAGGGTTTTACCTTGACTTACAAAAGAGAGGGGTCAAGGGAACCCCATCAATAGATTTTAAGGGTCCTTGCTGGTAGTACGAGGGTCCTGTAAAGTATTGAAATGATGTAGTGTACTGTATGCTCAGATAATGACTTCATTGCTTGGAATGAATCAGTGATCATGAAGACAGTGGTCAGGACTGATTGGGGAAATAACAGACACACACATAACATCTCTTGATACACTGTCGGTACGCTCTCAGTAGTTTTGTGTCTCCCTAGACGCTGTATTTTGGGCTTTCTGAGTTCATTCTCTACATTTGTTGTTGTGCGTTGTGTAAAACCGTGATGAGAGTGAAATGATTCCTCCTTTAAAGAGATGACAGGCAAACCACAAGTAGAAGTGGCCCACTGACAATGAGTTACACTCATTGTTGAGAAGTGATTTGTGGAATGTGACAAACCCCCCATGAAACCTTCTCTGAACACCAATTCGGCAAGCCTGACCACCCGATCCCATTAGTCCCCTTTTTGACAAGAACAGGTTGCTGAGGACCAATTCTACAATATTAGAGAATATAGAAGCCATGATCCAACTATTCTGTATTCTGCGGTTGAGGCAAGCCAATACAAATTAATAGCAACCTTTTTCTTGTATCCAACGGAAAAAGTACATAGATTTCTTTTGGGACACTCTTCCACTTTGGTATGAACCAACTCAAATCTATCTTTAATCATTTTGAAATTGTCATACCGATCTTTGTCGTCTGATCTAATCATATCATCCCACCATGGCGATTACCTGTCTTGGTAGGGAACTTTTCTCTCCGATACCACTGCAGTCTGTCCACTATAACATCAAGCTTATGACTAGATCATGAATTAATACTTAAATGAAAATAATATTTACTGTTGTCTCCCATTTGTTACACATGCCAGTTGTTGCACACTCTGATATTGCCAGTTGTTACACAGTCAGGTTGGGGGGTCATTACTGCTATACCTACAACAATAATGGACTAGCCCAAACTGCTCAGTAGAAGGATTTATAGTTTTTTTTAAGAAGAAGATTGTTTATTAAAGTGTCACAAGTTGTACATCATAAAAGCATCATAAAATAGAGTACAACATCCGGCCACAGCCTATGAGATTCTATATTGCATTTAAAAACAGAAAGTTAAAATTAGATAATAAATTACTAACAGCTATAGTTGGTGTAACAGTGTAGTTTTAAAATACTAGTAGTGTAATGTTACTAGGAAGTTGCTATAGTAAAGCAGCTTAACTGTCAAATGTATCAAAGGGATTAAGAGCAAGCAGTTTTGATGGGTTTTTTACTCAAGAAATGTTTGTTTGATTAAAGATGTTTTATAGTTTACATTTAATATTTACATTCAGTTGTTTTTATCTTGTTAAGACCTACAAGGGCAAATGCACAACAGTTGGAGATCTTGTCAGGAATGTTTCTGACCACAGTCATCCACCAGAAAATGTCACTAGGGCTAAGTTTATCAGCAGTCTTAGGAAAAGAGCTAGATCGTGATCCGCAAGATCGGGTCCAGAAAGCGAGTGTACAGGGAGTTGGAGAACAGAATCCAGAGACTGAAGGACCAGCTTCACCAGGGTACCAGGACACCACTTGACTTCCTTGATGTCACGGACATTTGATTAAGCTTGGTTGAGACTCTTGTTATGTGAAATCTGTGTGCTGAGTTGAATCAGTGGTTTAGAAATAAATGATAAAAGACATCGAAGAATGATTAACTTCATATACATGGATTTGCAAACAAATGCAATAAAATGATATGTAGTGCTTATCAATTGTGTTGCGTTCTCTTTCTATGTCTGTAACGAGTATGTACTATCCCATTCTTCACTAATAGGTAATAGGTGTGTGCAGTGGTCTGTGACCTTATGTGTATTGGGGTGTGTAACAAATAGGAGGATACCAATATTTACATACCCTATTTACGCACCTTGCTTAATCAGCATGCGAAAACATAGTAAATTTACATCAACACGTGTGCGTGTATTTACATATGTGTAAATATACTCACATATGTAAATCATGTGCATGCGAACAGGGTATTAAGTTTACTTGGGTTCGAAATATAAATATTTCCTTAGTTGGGGAAACATTTGTAAACTTGTAAATTTTCAAATGTTTTCATGGCTTAAAAGCTTGTGTATTATTCTGGATATTTCGGTAGGTATTTGAACACTTTTTATATACTCATGTTACCAGTACTAAAACAAATTGGTCACAGAAAAACTTGGTTCACATTGTGTTATACACATATGCTGAAGCGTTTGAAATCAAGGCCCATACCATACCTGGCTAAGCAAAACATTGTTATGCAAACAGACAGGTTTCATAAGTTCATCAGCTTAATCACTTCACTTCAACCCATTGTCAGGTTTGATAGTTGTTTAGGCTATGCAATCTCTTATTACTCTCTCCTCGTTTATCATGTTTATTGGTTGTAAACTGTGACATGTTTCGCATCCATGCATTATACAATGCAGTTCTTGATTCATTATTCATGCTTTCAGTCAATAACAAAACATCTGTAAAATACTTATGATGGGAACCTGCTTAAAGCTGCATAACTCACAGGTACTTGTTTTACTTTTCAAAGTTCTTTGAGGTAAGCTTGTTTTCAAATGTATTGATTTAGCAGGGCTCGATTTAGTGCTTTGTTACTTGCACTGGTGCAACCCAATATTACAAAGTATTTTTGAGACTTCAGCTGGAATACAGAATGATGAGGAACTGACTTGGAAGAGTGACTCTAACTAATCTTATCAGTCCCAGATTTCTTTTGTTATGATGTTCTAAACTATCATTACCAAACCTCAAGCATCCTATTTTATAGAAGATTTTATACTGAGCAGCAGGTGCAACCTGTTTTATCTGATGCAACAAGGTTTCTACCTAAGGTTGCACTGGGTGCAAGTAGGTTTCATGTCTTCAAATCGAGCCCAGTTTAGTATTGCAAGCAACCCTGCAGGTTATTTGGAGGTATTAACGCCTTGAACAGATACCTCTCATCTCTCCTCTATTTCCATTACCCCATATATAATTGGAGAAAATAATCATGCTAATTAAAAGATCGCACAAGCAACCGTAAGTACAATGTACTTAGATTTGCCTTTCCATACTACATAAAATCAAGCAGATATTCAATATCATAAATACACGACATTTCTGGGCTACATCATGCCCATTCGTCAGGTAATGGGACAAGAAGCAGCACAGAAACGTTGTGTTGTAAATAATAAAGAAGTTGTAAATCCATACCAAACGTTTTTATGTTACCTTCCAACTTCTAGAGCCTAATGGTTAAAGCGTTGGCTCATCACGCTGAAGACCCGGGTTCGAATACACACATGGGCACAATGTGTGAAGCCGGTTTCTGGTGGTCCCCGCCGTGATATTGCTGGAATATTGCTAAAAGCAGCGTAAAACCAAACTCAGTCAGTCAGTCAGTCCAACTTCTAGATGCCCATCATTCAACTGCATGTTGATCAGTTTACGCTGCAAACATGAACATTTACCCATGATTACAGTCTGTTTGACTCGAAAGTGTCCCAATGAATTGCTAAATATATCAGTTTAGAAAGGTAGTTAATAAATATTTTGAGGTAAGATGGTCATGAATAACCTATACCCAAACACCTTTTCAGTTATTTCAGGAATTGTCATGCATCACAGAAAAAGTTGTTTAACAAACTATCATCATTATAAACATGATCGTTGACAGTTGGCCCGGAGGGGCGCAAGGCTGCAACGGGAATAGACAGGTGCATCTGATCAGGGAGACTATAAGACGTTGTAGATTATCCCTGATCTGATGCGCAGGCATTTCGTGATAACTGCTGTGTGCTGGTGACGAAATGAAGTTCACTGTACAGGCTAAAAAGTTGATAATGAAAGTGTATGATTTCTTTTGCGCTGAGGCGGAAAGGGGGAGGCCGTTTTAGGCCATCGATAGGTATAACAAAAGTGCTTCCTATGCATATAGTGATTAGGATGTGGTTGTGTGGCATTTCACCAATAAGGAGAACAAGATCAAGAACACATAGCCCAGACTTAAGCTGGTTTTATAGTGCTAGCCCACTGAGATACCATGCCGCAGTGAAGCATGAACACCCCACTCCGACACATTATACTGACTCCGAGCCGACCAGTCCTTGTTGTACCCATTAATGCCGAGCGCCAGACAGGGACCAACAAGTACCATATTTTAACGTCTTTTGGTATGACGCGGTCGGGGATCGAACCCGCGACCTTCCGCTCTCCGGGCGGACGCTCTAACCACTACACCACGGAGGCGGTGATTTCATCTTGAATAGCCCCAGCCCATACAAATACAACAGAAACAAACACGTACAAAACCCAATGCCATAAAAGGGCTACACAGCGTGCAAGTGTAATACTGGATCTAACAACAGTTGTTTAATGTGGGAGAGTTCAGAAATATAGACATGGTCTTTAAAAGCCACTAAGCATATCCGGGGCATGTTTGGATCCACATGTACAGGAGCCTGGCACGTTATGCAAAGTGTAAGTCTCTGAAAATAGGAAAAAATTATAGAAATATATAACTCCGTATATACTGAATTACCCCAGTGAGCTCGGAGATTCAGAACCAGTGGGGGTCTAGACTGGCTTCAGTTCGGACTAATGCATTACAGAAAGGGTTGGGCCGAAAGTTTGAGTATGAAAGAGACCACTGGCATGTGAGATCCCAGCGATAAAAAGCGAATGTGGTTCTTACAAAGAGGGAAACGCATTTTAAAAACCTATTTTCCTAGATATATTCAATTAGCGTTCGTATTTTGGGTAAACAAATATATAGGTCTGGGCTAGCAGAAGATGTCCTTCATTTGAAATCCGATCTGCTGATCACAGCTGGTGGCTTCATAATATCTTTCGGAACAATGCAGTTGACTACAGCCAGCTTTTAATGTTCATCTAGGCGAGGTCTGTCAATATTTTTGAGCTGACGTTGTATTGTCGACGTTCATCAGCTGATGAAGAGAGTGATTCGTTTGAGCCAACTCCATGATGCTATACCTATTGTCAATTCATTCACTCTCTTCTTGAAGGACAACGTAATCATGCGACATACTGAAATCGGGAAATGAACGACAGTTGGTCGTTTAGTATCCATCTAGGCGAGGTCACCCACTGCTGTCAATATGTATAGACGATTTCTAGGTTTTCCGCTCAAAATCTAATTCTAAAGCGTCTGTCAACGTATATACCAACTTTTGTGCGTGTATTGAATAGCTGATAGAAATTAAATGCAACTTGACAATTGGCTCGCTGAGGTACGACTTACGCAGAGACCAGTTGATATTGGCGATATACATTGTGTTGTCAATAATGACATTTGGAATGATCTACTATCCATATCACGAGACTGTGTATTTATTCATTAACCATTCTCACAGGTTCACGAATATGTTAGGTCAAAATTGATCTTCAGCAACCCATGTTGCTCACTTGTTTTATGCTTGCCGTCGTATCCCACTTGTGAAGGTCGATGCTCATAGTGTCATGACCACGTGTAACTCGTTTGTGTATATCATTACATATTACTAAAACTGAGGCCTGCATGAACGTTACAGTGGAAGTATGTGGATGTGGACCTGAAACATGTTCCCGTGATCTTGACATTGTTGACATTGACTAACACTGACTGACTGAGTTTGGTTTTACGCCGCTTTTAGCAATATTCCAGCAACATCACGGCGGGGGACACCAGAAATGGGTTGACTAACATATCAACTGGGAATGCACTATGACTATTAGGAACAATAGACACAAACTGATATGAAAAAATGTTGCTTGCGTTATGATGACATGACTTTGATGAGCGAAAATGATGAGCAAAGAAAGACATCTGGTATAATAAAATCAGACATTTAAGAGCTTTCTGTTATGTAGTGTGATTTTAATAATAGTCCAACAGTATGTTGGACATATTTGGTGCCGTTGATACTATGTAAAGACAGGGAGCTGTTACTGTTGACCAGACATCGTGTAATACTTGGCTGATCTAAATACAAAGTACTGAACTTTGTTACCTTGTAACAGTTTTTCATGCATACACTGCCAACCAAAGATATATATTGTCTTCAAATGATATAGCTGAATTTGAAAAACATAATTTTGGAAAAATTACCTTTAATTTGTACAGTTTAACTCATATTTTTCTCATCAAATGCCCTTTCTATTAAAATTGGCATTTGACCTTACCAAAATAATTTGGCGATGAGCATATATATAACATTATTGTCGATAATTTTAAATCATGATCTGAGCACTACAAAACTACTATTTTGACGAAGATCGGTCAATCCAAACCAGAGTTATTAAACTAAACCCTCCAGTTATCGGTTAAAATATTACTGACATGACTTGTTGCACCTTTTAAAAAAGGGCCCCAGCACAGTAGTCACGCACGGTAGCTGATGACAACCGGCTATAAAATCAAAGCTAAGTCATTCCATTCACTCTCCAGAACTGCACCACATTTTCATCATTTTGCGGGTCTAGCTTCTAGACTATTTGAAAAGGCGCCCAGAATAACAATATGCCTGCCTCCATCAGGGGTTAAACCAGCCCCTCAACAGGTCACCCTAGTGACAGTGTGATTGTATGGCTCCAGTATCCAGGGTGCTGTCTCCAGTCTTCGCCATCCCATGCTTGTGGAAAGAGACACATGGCATCGTATCCCAATTGCGTAGGTCGATGCACATGCTGTCGATCACTGGATAGTCCAGACTTGATTATTGACAGACCGCCGCCATAAAGCTGGAATAATGCTGAGCGTGGCGTTAAACAACAAACCAGCCAATCAACCATTCTGTTACACGAAATACCCTGGACCTATTCATCGACATCGACATCTTTGCAGGGTATTTCTGTCACTCATGTGAATAATTGCTTGAACAGTTCTGTAGGCACAGTGCCATTATCTAGTCAACTGGCAAGTGACAGTTTGGTCCGAGGTATTGATTACCGTCTCTGGTGACACTGCTACCAAAGAGGCATACGCCCTACATCAGACCTCGCCTACCGTCTCGGGTGACACTGCTACAAAGAGCCGTACATCAGACCGTATTACCCTCGAGAGAAGCATACAACTTATAGTATTGCCTTGAATGTAAGAATACCAAAACTTACATGGCCATGTATTGCTTGGAATGTAATAATACCAACAGCTATTACTTTGAATGTAATAATACCAACATGTATTACTTTGATTGTAATGATACCAACAGGAATTGCTTTGAGTAAAGCCCAAATGTCATACAGCAGAACCACTATATGCAAAGTGATTGAAAGATATAGCGGTGGTGAACAAAGTGATCCTCAGAAACAGCAGAGTTAATCAACAGTGCCCTACACAAATGCCAGTTACAAATAATTTCCCACATCATGGAAGTAGATTATGCCATTAATAAGCGACAGACCACAGACCAGGGCCTAGATTTTCGAAGCTCTCTTAGCGCTAAGATAGTCGTAAGTTAATGTTAATGTATGGCAGTTACGACTATCTTAATGCTAAGAGAGCTTCGAAAATCTAGGCCCAGGAACACTATATCAGCTTGTCTCCATAGGTGCGGAAAGGGAAGGATTTTCAACTCAAGGGAGGTAACTCGCGGCTCCTTACATGGTTATAAATGGGAAACCGACTGGTACTCCGCCAAGTCGAGTGTGTTGTTTGTCATACTCGCTGTGGTGTTTTGTGTAGGGTCAGACGACATCACTATTGTATATTTCGGAATTGATGGGTGTATATTCAAGTTTTGGGCATTGTCATTTTTCTATGTGAAATTGCCAACATGGCGAGGAAAACGGACTTACTATAAGGTACACCCCTTGTTTGCAATGTTTAATTTAAGAGGGCAGAGATGACCTTTGTACAGATCGGAAACTTATGTTGTGGGTTTCGAATCCCGGGTAGCCCCGACTATGTATCTAGGATTGTCAGCACAGTACCCGTGCTCGTGGGTATCACTAAGGTGGTAAACGTCTGAGTGAGTGAGTGAATTTAGTTTTACGCCGCCTTTAGCAATATTCCAGCAATATCACGGCGGGGAACACCAGAAATCGGCTTCACACATTGTAATAATGTGGGGAATCGAACCCGGGTCTTCGGCGTGACGAGCGAACTATAGGCTACCCAACCACCCGGTAAACGTCCGAGACCTTCATCGCCTCGGGCGGTCCTCCCACTATTAGTTGACAAGCCTAAATGTAACTGTAATACTGTTAAAGGCAGTGTTTAGCGAGACAAGTACACTCACACTTTAATATTGAAAATAGACAGCAGAATTGCGTGGTTTCAGTCGGTTTGGTCCGGCATTAAAATGACTATATGGATAATATGTACAGACAGCGCCCGTCTTCTACGAAACGTCCAGGAAACAGAGAGCTTGATTTCCTAGCATACAGACAGCGCCCGGTCTCTGCGAAACGTCCAGGAAACAGAGAGCTTGATTTCCTAGCATGCAGACAGCGCCTGGTCTCTGCGAAACGTCCAGGAAACAGAGAGCTTGATTTCCTAGCATACAGACAGCGCCCGGTCTCTGCGAAACGTCCAGGAAACAGAGAGCTTGATTTCGGATTTGAATTAACGTAGCATACAGACAGCGCCCGGTCTCTGCGAAACATCCAGGAAACAGAGAGCTTGATTTCCTAGCATACAGACAGCGCCCGGTCTCTGCGAAACGTCCAGGAAACAGAGAGCTTGATTGTACATATATGTGCTAGAAGTACCCGTCACTGGTTCTCTTTGTAGTAATACATTTTGATTGTGCCACAAGCTAACAATGTCGTCATCCTGTGCTGTTTCTTCTTGGTGAAAACAAGTTTCTATTTCATATTATTTGTGACATGAACAGAAAAGTTCTAAACTGCCACATCCAGAAGAGATTAATACAACTTAATACGAAATATACTTTATTTCAAATATTAAAAAAATATACAGTGAACATATCTGAAAATATTAATATAATCCGACGACAGCCAGGGGCGTAGCTACTATTACAACAAAAAGCCCGGGCTTACAATTGATTGTTGAAAAAAAAATAGGCAAGCCCTCAACACTATCGAAATATGAAGCTTTGCAACCTATTGGGCTTACACGATAAAAACGGCTTGCTACGCGCCTGACCTTCGCAATGGGACTCGTGACATGTCAACATGAGCATTTCAGTGGGCGCCGCGTCACTCAGCAACCAAAGACATTAATAGCATTACAGGATCATTGCAATATGAGTTGAAAACTCTCGTTACAGATCGTATACTTGGAGAGTCAGTCACCTGCTCTGTTTTAATGTTTTAACAAACATTTGGGTGGGGAGGTACTGCAGGGATGCGCTGCCTTTTTATTCAATTGATGCTAATAATGTTGACATGGTCATTAAGCTTGATGATTTTGTGAATTATTTTCTTCAAATTAAGAATTTAGTGGAGCAAACGTAAACTGTTCCTCGACATATTATTGTCTGATTGTATACAGCTGTACACGCCCTAAGGTTATATCACGCGTTAAGTCCTACGCCAAACAAACATGTTAATAAACAATACCGCAATCATCTGAGTCCAGGTTTGTACTCTGTTCGAGCATCATTCTTGGAACATTGCATCCTACTGAGCCATCCCGTAGCGCGGCACAAACAGATATGTTGGAGTCACTGGGATTTGTTAGAGATGTGGAGATATCTAGAACAGAAATTTTGTATACTATGCACCATTTACAACCTTTCTCATAGCCGTGTACTGGGTTGTTCAAACGTTTCACTGTACGGCGGTGGGTCGAATCCTGGATTGTCGGCCCCACCTCCCAGACCGTTCTTGTCCAGCCCCTCCCCCTTCTCTACCTCGTGTGTACCGATGTGCACCGGGCCGCCGCTGTGTCGGTACTGCTCGCCAGCCTTCAGTTCGGCAGGGGTCATGTTGCAAGACAGGCTGGGCCTGTCGTACTTCTGTAAGTGAGAGAGAGTCAGTGAATGAGTTTGGAACATCACTTAAGTTGTATCAGGGCCCGTCAGTGTAGTGTTGTAGGACAGCCTGAACTGATGCAGGCCTTGCATCTTTAACGCTTTGGTGACACAAGCAATATGCACGTAATGACAAACCTACAAATAAAATCGTCTGAAACTGGATTCGAACCCACGATCATAGGGCTCTGGACCAAGTACAGCCATGTTGTAAACTGCCTGGCGATCTCTTGATGTCACAAGCCGGAACACGACCGCCTCTCTTCATCACTATTTGGTCTGTCATCAGCGGAATGCTGTACGTGATGACTTTGGTAGCAGATATATTGTTGTTTACGCTGCATCAGCCTTCATAACATGTATAGATTATGTAAACCTTATCTTGTCTGAAGCGTGAGAGGATGTAGCCATACATGTACAGGCCTACCTAGAGTGGATGTACGCCGTGTCGGGAATATTGCAGTCATTGTCTGAATGTTGGAGGAGCGATGTAAGCTACCGTGTCAGTAATATTGCAGCCAGTGTCTGAATGTTGGAGTAACGATATAAGCTACCGTGTCACGATAACACCCAGCCCCATGTTACAAGATGAATGTATTTGGCTGGCTCCTTGTAGTAGGCTGCTGTGTATTTAGTGCTGGCCCACGCCATGTCGTTGATTAACCTTGATACTCACCCCTGACGACCAAACCTTAATGATGAAGTCAAATACTCACACCTTCGTGGTTGACGACCAAACCTTAATGATGAAGTCAAATACCCACCCCTTCGTGGTTGACGACCAAACCTTAATGATGAAGTCAAATACCCACCCCTTCGTGGTTGACGCCAAAACGCAGAGGCTTTATGATGAAGGCTTTCTGGTTGATGCATTGAAGTCCCCACCCCTTCGTGGTTGACGAAAACGCAGAGATGCATTCCGGCAGGAAAGACGATGGGAAGACGATATCGAAGATTGGGCAGATGAGGCGGGGGTCGACGGAGGACGGCTTGGTGGGACCTGGAACAGGCAGCAGTCCAATATATGTTCGTTTTAAGTCCAGTGTTACGTACCATGTATGGATGTAACCACTTTTGGCAAATATCAGGGCGGGGACATCAGTTTCACACAATGTGCCTATTAGGAGACTCGAACCCAGATACTTTGCGTGGCGATCGATCGCTTACAGGATAAGACTACATCTAGGACCGTTGCCCTCGCTGGATGATAGTAGTAATATTGGTGTACACATGAAGATGTATCATCCAGCTATGGAAGGGTTATGTACGAGGCAGGCTGTATTGTGTTTTGCTGCGACGTACCTGTGAGGAAGCTGACGATGAGACCGACGACGACGACAATGAGGACGGCGGTGGCGCTGTACCACAGATAGGACAGGGTGTAGAGATAGTAGTCAGGTGACCTAAGACGGAATGCGATAACGTTGCAGTATTACTTACGACATTCATTACGGTTAGAATCTCTCGACAACTCGGCATAAAGTATACAAGTTTTGTTTTAATGTAGGCTTTCTGTACAACAAAGTCTGATAATCGCTATTATGAAAAGAGCCTCATTACAAATTGAATGTGATAAGTACTGAAACAATGATTTATTTTGACTGACTAACAACATTTTACATTTTCCAACATTCCTGTCAAACAAACCAGAAGCGCAACTTCAGAAACAATTTTCCTCTATCTGAAACCTGAAACTTTACAAACTATCTCATCTTTTCGACCACCGACCCAAACCGTCCAGAAAAAACTTGTAATACAACTGATTAACCTTTCTACAGTAGCTGCCACGGTTGTGGCGTTGTTGAGTGTCGTCGTGGCGACTGTAGATATGGAGGACATAACACCAGAGACGGTGACAGGTGCGACTGTCGTTGTGAGGTTCCAGTTGCAGCCTGTGATGTTGGTAGGAGGCTTGGGTTGAGGGGGTTTGTGCACCTGGGCTCCTATACCGATCCAGAACATCATAACGAGGCTGGTGCCCAGGCCGGCGCCGGCTCCCTGTCAGAGATGGGGTAGATAGTGATATCACAAGAAATATACATGTGATATAAACCCTTAAGAAGAGTGAATGTCGGAGGAAGATAACGTATTGAGAGTAGAATTACCTGCCTGACATTGTCCGAGGAAGATAATGTAATGAGAGCAGAATAACCTGCCTGACAGTGTCCTTGGAAGATAACGCAAAGAGAGTAGAATTATCTGCCTGACAGTGTCCTAGGAAGATAACGTAATGAAAGTAGAATTACCTGCCTGACAGTGTCCTAGGAAGATAACGTAATGAGAGTGGAATTACCTGCCTGACAGTGTCCGAGGAAGATAACGTATTGAGAGTAGAATAACCTGCCTGACAGTGTCTTATGAAAATAACGCAATGAGAGTAGAACTACCTGCCTCACAGTGTCCGAGGAAGATAATGCAATGAGAGTAGAATTACCTGCCTGACAGTGTCCTAGGAAGATAACGCAGGGAGAGTAGCATAACATGCCTGACAGTCTCCGAGGAAGATAACGTAATGAGAGTAGAGTTACCTGCCTGACAGTGTCCGAGGAAGATAACGTAATGAGAGTAGAATTACCTGCCTGACAGTGTCCTAGGAAGATAACGTAATGAGAGTAGAATTACCTGCCTGACAGTGTCCTAGGAAGATAACGTAATGAGAGTAGAATTACCTGCCTGACAGTGTCCTAGGAAGATAACGTAATGAGAGTAGAATAACCTTCCTGACAGTGTCCTAGGAAGATAACGTAATGAGAGTAGAATAACCTGCCTGACAGTGTCCGAGGAAGATAACGTTATGAGAGTAAAATAACCTGCCTGACAGTGTCCTAGGAAGATAACGTATTGAGAGTAGAATTACCTGCCTGACAGTGTCTAGGAAAATAACGTAATGAGAGTAGAATTACATGCCTGACAGTGCCTGAGGAAGATAACGTTATGAGAGTAAAATAACCTGCCTGACAGTGTCCTAGGAAGATAACGTATTGAGAGTAGAATTACCTGCCTGACAGTGTCCTAGGAAGATAAGGTATTGAGAGTAGAATTACCTGCCTGACAGTGTCCTAGGAAGATAACGTATTGAGAGTAGAGTTACCTGCCTGACAGTGTCCTAGGAAGATAACGTAATGAGAGTAGAATTACCTGCCTGACAGTGTCCTAGGAAGATAACGTAATGAGAGTAGAATTACCTGCCTGACAGTGTCCTAGGAAGATAACGTATTGAGAGTAGAATTACCTGCCTGACAGTGTCCGAGGAAGATAACGTAATGAGAGTAGAATTACCTGCCTGACAGTGTCCGAGGAAGATAACGTATTGAGAGTAGAATTACCTGCCTGACAGTGTCCGAGGAAGATAACGTAATGAGAGTAGAGTTACCTGCCTGACAGTGTCCGAGGAAGATAACGTAATGAGAGTAGAATTACCTGCCTGACAGTGTCCTAGGAAGATAACGTAATGAGAGTAGAATTACCTGCCTGACAGTGTCTGAGGAAGATAACGTAATGAAGTAGAGTTACCTGCCTGACAGTGTCTGAGGAAGATAACGTAATGAGAGTAGAATAACCTGCCCGACAGTGTCCGAGGACGATAACGTAATGAGAGTAGAGTTACCTGCCTGACAGTGTCCGAGGAAGATAACGTAATGAGAGTAGAATTACCTGTCTGACAGTGTTCTATGAAAATAACGCAATGAGAGTAGAACTACATGCCTGACACTGTCCGAGGAAGATAATGTAATGAGAGTAGAATTACCTGCCTGACAGTGTCCTAGGAAAATAACGCAATGAGAGTAGAGTTACCTGCCTGACAGTGTCCGAGGAAGATAACGTAATGAGAGTAGAATTACCTGCCTGACAGTGTCCGAGGAAGATAACGTAATGAGAGTAGAATTACCTGCCTGACAGTGTCCGAGGAAGATAACGTAATGAGAGTAGAGTTACCTGCCTGACAGTGTCCGAGGAAGATAACGTAATGAGAGTAGAATAACATGCCCGACATTGTCCGAGGAAGATAACGTAATGAGAGTAGAGTTACCTGCCTGACAGTGTCCGAGGAAGATAACGTAATGAGAGTAGAATTACCTGCCTGACAGTGTCCGAGGAAGATAATGTAATGAGAGTAGAATTACCTGCCTGACAGTGTCCTAGGAAGATAACGTAATGAGAGTAGAATTACCTGCCTGACAGTGTCCTGAGGAAGATAACGTAATGAGAGTAGAATTACCTGCCTGACAGTGTCCGAGGAAGATAACGTAATGAGAGTAGAATTACCTGCCTGACAGTGTCCTAGGAAGATAACGTATTGAGAGTCGAATTACCTGCTTGACAGTGTCCTAGGAAGATAACGTAATGAGAGTAGAATTACCTGCCTGACAGTGCCTGAGGAAGATAACGTATTGAGAGTCAAATTACCTGCCTGACAGTGTCCTAGGAAGATAATGTAATGAGAGTAGAATTACCTGCCTGACAGTGTCCTATGAAAATAACGCAATGAGAGTAGAACTACCTGCCTGACAGTGTCCGAGGAAGATAATGTAATGAGAGTAGAATCACCTGCCAGACAGTGTCCTAGGAAAATAACGCAATGAGAGTAGAGTTACCTGCCTGACAGTGTCCGAGGAAGAAAACGCAATGAGAGAAGAATTACCTGCCTTACATTGTCCGAGGAAGATAATGTAATGAGAGTAGAATGATCTGCCTTACAGTGTCCGAGGAAGATAACGTAATGAGAGTAGAATAACATGCCTGACAGTGTCCGAGGAAGATAACGTAATGAGAGTAGAATTACCTGCCTGACAGTGCCCGAGGAAGATAACGTATTGAGAGTCGAATTACCTGCCTGACAGTGTCCTATGAAAATAACGCAATGAGAGTAGAACTACCTGCCTGACAGTGTCATAGGAAGATAATGTAATGAGAGTAGAATTACCTGCCTGACAGTGTCCTATGAAAATAACGCAATGAGAGTAGAACTTACCTGCCTGACAGTGTCCTAGGAAGATAATGTAATGAGAGTAGAATTACCTGCCTGACAGTTTCCTATGAAAATAACGCAATGAGAGTAGAGTTACCTGCCTGACAGTGTCCGAGGAAGATAACGTAATGAGAGTAGAATAACCTGCCTGACAGTGTCCTCCGAGGAAGATAACGTAATGAGAGTAGAATTACCTGCCTGACAGTGTCCTAGGAAGATAACGTAATGAGAGTAGAATTACCTGTCTGACAGTGTCCGAGGAAGATAACGTAATGAGAGTAGAATAACCTGCCTGACAGTGTTCTAGGAAGATAACGTAATGAGAGTAGAATTACCTGCCTGACAGTGTCCTAGGAAGATAACGTAATGAGAGTAGAATTACCTGCCTGACAGTGTCCGAGGAAGATAACGTAATGAGAGTAGAATAACCTGCCTGACAGTGTCCGAGGAAGATAACGTAATGAGAGTAGAATTACCTGCCTGACACTGTCCGAGGAAGATAACGTAATGAGAGTAGAATAACCTGCCCGACATTGTCCGAGGAAGATAACGTAATGAGAGTAGAGTTACCTGCCTGACAGTGTCCGAGGAAGATAACGTAATGAGAGTAGAGTTACCTGCTTGACAGTGTCCGAGGAAGATAACGTAATGAGAGTAGAATTACCTGCCTGACAGTGTCCGAGGAAGATAATGTAATGAGATAGAATTACCTGCCTGACAGTGTCCGAGGAAGATAACGTAATGAGAGTAGAATTACCTGCGTGACAGTGTCCGAGGAAGATAACGTAATGAGAGTAAAATAACCTGCCTGACAAGTGTCCTATGAAGATAACGTAATGAGAGTAGAATTACCTGCCTGACAGTGTCCGAGGAAGATAACGTATTGAGAGTAGAATAACCTGTCTGACAGTGTCCTAGGAAGATAACGTATTGAGAGTAGAATTACCTGTCTGACAGTGTCCTAGGAAGATAACGTAATGAGAGTAGAATAACCTGTCTGACAGTGTCCTAGGAAGATAACGTAATGAAAGTAGAATTACCTGCCTGACAGTGTCCGAGGAAGATAACGTATTGAGAGTAGAATTACCTGCCTGACAGTGTCCGAGGAAGATAACGTATTGAGAGTAGAATAACCTGTCTGACAGTGTCCTAGGAAGATAACGTAATGAGAGTAGAATAACCTGCCTGACGAGTGTCCTAGGAAGATAATGCAATGAGAGTAGAATAACCTGCCTGACAGTGTCCGAGGAAGATAACGTAATGAGAGTAGAATTACCTGCCTGACAGTGTCCGAGGAAGATAACGTAATGAGAGTAAAATAACCTGCCTGACAAGTGTCCTATGAAGATAACGTAATGAGAGTAGAATTACCTGCCTGACAGTGTCCGAGGAAGATAACGTATTGAGAGTAGAATAACCTGTCTGACAGTGTCCTAGGAAGATAACGTATTGAGAGCAGAATTACCTGTCTGACAGTGTCCTAGGAAGATAACGTAATGAGAGTAGAATAACCTGTCTGACAGTGTCCTAGGAAGAGAACGTAATGAGAGTAGAATAACGCACACGATGCTCCTAGGAAAATAATGCAATGAGAGTAGAATAACCTGCCCGACATTGTCCGAGGAAGATAATGTAATGAGAGCAGAATAACCTGCCTGACAGTGTCCTTGGAAGATAACGCAAAGAGAGTAGAATTATCTGCCTGACAGTGTCCTAGGAAGATAACGTAATGAAAGTAGAATTACCTGCCTGACAGTGTCCTAGGAAGATAACGTAATGAGAGTAGATTGACCTGCCTGACAGTGTCCGAGGAAGATAACGTATTGAGAGTAGAATAACCTGCCTGACAGTGTCCTATGAAAATAACGCAATGAGAGTAGAATTACCTGCCTGACAGTGTCCGAGGAAGATAATGCAATGAGAGTAGAATTACCTGCCTGACAGTGTCCTAGGAAGATAACGTAGGAGAGTAGCATAACATGCCTGACAGTCCCGAGGAAGATAACGCAATGAGAGTAGAGTTACCTGC